CCCCTTCCCTCCTCCCCTTCCCTCCTCCCCTTCCCTCCTCCCCTTCCTCACCCTCTCTCTCTCCCTCCCTCTCTCCCTCAAGAACAGAATAGGACCAAAATTTAATCAGTTTGGTTGCTCGTGGGGAAAATACAATCAATTGCCTGCAGAGAAAATTTAGTTGCTCAGCATGATTAACCTGTCAAAGCATCAGTAATTTCTAGTATGCGCTCCAGGCTCCAGCATCAAAGTAACTCCGTTTTGGAGTATGAAACCTTATGGTCCAGCAAGAGGACCTTCAAGCTTTTAAATTATTTCCTTAATCTTCTATGCTCAAAGGAGAATAATCCCAGCCTTTCTTGTTTTTCCCAGTACCCACCAAGGGGCCCAAACATCAATGATTGAAGAGAACTATGGCCCAGCTTTGTCATTGTGGTTTGTGTTGGTGTGAACATTGGCATCTTTTACAAGTGGAGTGTGGACCACTCTGCATGCTGTCCCTGTCATTGGCTGTTCTCCTCAAACGCTATCTGCCCACAAGGGGGTGCAATTGGAGAGGTTGGAAGTCTGGTCACTTCCTGCAGAGCTGGACACTGCTCACTCACTCGGGTGGATGGTTTCCCGAAGGCCCACGTCCAAGGTTAAGAGGTTTTGCTGACTTATCTTTCTTTTCTTCTCAGCTGATGTCGCACGGTCTTTGGGCGCAAAGGTGGTGATAGCAATTGATGTTGGCAGCCAGGATGAAACCGATCTGACAAATTACGGAGACTCCCTTTCTGGCTGGTGGTTACTGTGGAAACGCTTTAATCCTTGGGCAGCAAAAGTGAAGGTAAGGAATAAAAATCCCTGTAGGACCCTTGACAGCTTCCTGCACGAAGCGAGTGTGGGTAAGGGTGGCTGGTGCCTTGTAATTGCTATGGCAAACAGGATAAAACAATCACTAACATCAGCACAGCAAGCACTGATGTTTATCGAGCACCTTTAATGTTTTAAAGGGCTTGATGCTCTTCATCGCAGTCTTATTAAGCAAAATTTCACACCAAACCATAAAAGACACGATTGGGTCAGATGGCCAGATGGTAGGACTTAAGGAAGGTTTTAGGGAGTTGAGGCTTAACCCAAGCTATTGACAGTAGAGCTGTTAAAATCGAGGATGCTGAATAGGCCAGGATTAGAAGAGCAGAGATATGGAATGGAGAGCATTATACAGGTAACGAACGGCAATGCAACGGAGGAATTTGACAACAAGGATGAGAATTTTACAAACGGGTTCGATAACGGGGATCCAAAGTGCTGATGAGAAATGGGGACATGGTTCATGTAAGGACGCTGGTGTTTATAGAGTGTAGAATAAGAGAGGCTGTCCTGGAGGGCACTGAGAAAACCAAGTCTAGAGTTAACAAAAGCTAGGACAAGAGTTTCAGCAGTAAACATAACTCTGCAGAACTGTGGTCTCTCCGACCTGCAGTGATGTAATCAGTAGCCTTTCATTTTAACTCAATCTTGAGGGCAGCCTTCCTTGCTTTTGAAGAATGAATGATAATGCAGCACAAACTCGAAGAGTCAGTGGTTTGTCTGAATCAACAGGGAGCAAACGTATCCAGTTGAATTTTTGATTACTCAATCTATTCTTTTAAAACCCAATAAATGATCTCATCTGAGTCCTAGACTGTAACGTGTTGCAGATTAAAACCTTATCCATAGAGTTATAACACAGGAGCAGAACACTTTGTCCGACCAGTCCAATTTGATTCACCCACCACATATATCAATCAATCTAATTAGATTTACCCACCCTGTTTCCGTATCACTTCAAGCCCTTTTCATTCATCCACCTATCCGGTCAAATCTTGCATGTTGGCAGAGTTTATAGCTCAAGAGATCTGCTCTGGAATGGAGAAGGGCTTGCAGTGGGAGGGGCAGGATCTGGTGGCTGTAGCCCACGTTGGTACCAACAATATGGGTGGAATTAGGAAGGAGGTTCTGCTGAGGGCTGTATGAGATGCTAAGTACTCAATAAGGAAGCAGAACTTCAAAAGTGAAAATCTCTGGTTTATGACTCAATCCACATACAAATTGGCACAGGTCAAAAAGGCTATAAGTGAATGCATGGCACCAGTATTGGAAAAAGTGTTAGGTGTATCATTGATATGATTTACACTTGTACTATGCTAGGACTGGTGTTCCAGCGAGATGGGGAACCAGGGTAGGACATCAAGCATGATTGTAATAGGTGCTTGTGACTAGGTTTAAGTCAAGGTAACAACAGCAAAATGTCGGATGAGCTCAAGTTTATGTTAAGTGCAAGGCTGAGCAAGCGAGCATTGGAATTCCTGTGTATGAAGGAATCAGAACTTGATGAGGGTTTCAGCTGCAAAGTGGCTGAGTAAGGGAGGAAATGGCAGATGTCACAGAGGTATGTGTTGATGGTCTTTGTGATGATGAGAATGAAAAATCTAAGGTTCAATTTGGGGTCAGATTGGACACAGCAACTGTGACCAGTTTGTGCAGCATGAGGCACTTGTCAACGCAGTGAATCAAATTGGTATTGGGGACTGAGGGTTTGCTGTCCCCAATCTTCAGTTGGATGAAATTTTTGTTCATCCACTGCCAGATGTCAGACAAGCAATATGGTATATCAATGAAGAGACAAAGTGGTTCTCCATGTGAAGAGGTTTCTCCTGCCCTCTATTTTAAATCTCATTTAATCTTGTGTTGATTGTTCATGCCCACACCCCCTCACTGAGTTGGAGGAGACTGTGGTCTGCATCTGAAGCTGGCAGTCTGATTGAAAATGTAGGGCCTGGCAGCATGTGTGGAAAGAGAATCTGTGACCAGTTGAGCATTACTAGTGTTTTCTGTTATTGTTTTTTTCGACATCCTGTCATAAAAATTAGTCATATATAACCTCAGTGAGAAGTATCATCTGCTCTAGTTTCACTCAGCTTTTCTTGTTCACAGACACTTGTTGTATGTTATTCTGTCATTTTTACAGGTTTTGGGCATGGCAGAGATCCAAACTCGCCTTGCTTACGTTTGCTGTGTGCGGCAGCTGGAGGTGGTGAAGAACAGTGACTATTGCGAGTACATTCGACCTCCGATAGACCGCTATGGAACCCTTGAGTTTGGCAAATTCGACGAAATTGCAGTAAGAGGAGCATCGCTTTGAGCTATTGTTTGCATCTTTGGTTAAGCTCTGACAGCGCTAGCAGGCTTATCATTCTTTGCAGCTGATCACTAATCGATCCATCAAAAGACCTGCATTTGATGAGAAAACCACCCACCAAAAACTCGAAACCTAATTGGCCTCGTCCTCACTATTCTACCTGTTGCGGATGCATTTGTTCATGATAGTGTTGAGAGGAGTTCCCCACACAGTGTACTTGTGGAGCTAAAGCCCTCTCTTAACACCAAACCCTCCATGTTGTATTGCACTATTGCCATGCTAAATAGGATAGATTCGCAACATTACTAGCGGCTCAATGAGATGCAGTGGTTAGGGTCAGTATTGCAATCAGTATAATTGTACTCCACTGAGCATCTTTAACTTTACTCTACCATTACCATCAAGTCAAGTAACCAACTCTAGTTCAATGACAGTTGTTGAAGAGCATGCTGGGAACAGCACTAGGTATACCTGAAAATGAGCTGCTATTGTGGCATAACTACAATACAGTACTAACATGTATGGTAGACAGCAGATACAGCGTCTATAGTCCGTGGGGTGATGGTTGCAAAGTAGATAATCCTCACCACTGAGCACCTTTGTCTATGTGTCCATGTGCATTATTGGTCACCACAAGGTAGATTTGTTGCCACCATCCTCTTTTTAGGGTAAAGATCTACAGGGGTTTGGCTTGACAAAGGAAAACCACCAAGTAGTCTTTTTTTTAAATTCACTCCAGTATAGTCACAAGTTCCCATATGACTTGCAAATTTCTTATGCAAAAAGAGTTAATCTCAATGGATTCCGTCCTCTGTTTGGATTCCACCAGGAAATCTTCTGCCAGTGTCCGTTTACTAGTTTTTGCATAACTGGCTGTTCCTTGACCTGTTGTTCTGTGACTGGCTATTGCTGGCTCGTTGTTTCTTGGCCTGGACAAGATTGAGGCTTGAGCTGATAACTGTACTAAGTAACATTTGGAACATGTGTTTCAGTAGAGTCTAACCATCTCTCCTTGACATTCAGTGGCATTACCGTTGTTAAAGGCTACATCATTGAATATTCTGGAAATTGTAATTGTCCAGAAATTTGACATATACATTGCAAAAGCAGGTTAAAGGCTGGGAATTCTATGACTCATAACTCACTTCTTGAGTTCCCAGAAACAGGCTACCTTCTGCAAGCCTCAAGTCAGGATAGTTATGGAATATGCTCCATTTGACTAGAGTATAGGAGTTGGGAGGTCATGTTGTGACTGTACAGGACATTGGTTAGGCCACTTGCAGAATACTGCGTGTCTCTCTGCCGTAGGAAAGAGGTTGTGAAACTTGAAAGAATGCAGAAAACATTCACAAAGATGTTGCCAGGGTTGGTGGGTTTGATCTATAGGGAGAGGCTGAATAGGCTGGAGCTATTTTCCCTGGAGTGTCAGACACTGGCGAGTGACTTTATAGAGGTTTATAAAATCCTGAGCGGCATGGATAGGGTGAGTAGGCAAGGTCTTTTTCCTGGGGTGGTGGAATCTAGAACTAGAGGGCATAGGTTTATGGTAAGAGGGGGAAAGATATAAAAGGGACCTAAGAGGCAACATTTTTATGCAGAGGGTGGTGCATGTATGGAATGAGCTGCCAGAGGAAGTGCTGGTGGCTGGTATAATAACAGTATTTAAAAGGCATCTGGATGGGTACATGAATAGGAAGGGTTTAGAGGGATAGGGGCCACATGCTGGCAAATGGGACTAGATTAATTTAGGATATCTGGTTGGCATGGACGAGCTGGACTGAAGGTCTGTTTCCATGCTGTATGACTCTATAAATTCAGTTCTAACAATTCTCGAGACTCAACGTTATTGAAGGCAAAGCAGATTGCTTGATGGACACCCCAAGTTTAACATAAATTCTCTGCTATTCAATCTGTTCTTCTAATGCCCGTTGTAACTCTGAGTGAGAAAGCCATTGCCAATCAGAGCACAGAAAAAGGCTGTGTCTCTGGAGCAAAACAGTGTGTTTTATTCCTTAGCTGTCTTCCTCCCTAGTCATGCAAGTTTGTGCCAATGCAAGTCCCTGTTGAAAGCTATTGATGTCCCTGCTTTCATCGTTCATGTGGGCAACGAGCTCCAGTTCTTTATCTCACTCTGGGGGGAGAAGAAATTCTCTCTCTCAATTCAACAATCATTTGAACTTGTGCCCGTAGCTATTGGGAGCAGTATTTTTTTTCACTTCTGCGTTATCTAAACCACTCATAATTTTGCACATTTCTTTCAAATCTCTCCAGGATCTCCTTTGTCCCATGGAGAACAATCCGAGCTTTTCCAATCTAACCTTATAATTAAAATTCTACATCTCTGGAATTGTTCTAGTAAATCATTTCTCCACCGTCCCGAGGGCCCTCACACCTTTCCTAAAGTGCAGTGATCAGAACTGGATGCAGTGCTCTAATCGTGACCTCGGGAGAGCTTTATAAAAGTTCAACATAACTTGCTGCTCTTGTGATTTTTAGTTCAAGAATTGGTTCAGTTTTTGGAGCACTGAAGTGCTCCACAGGGAGGCAATGGCCTAGTGGTATTATCGCTGGGCTGTTAATCCAGAGACCCGGATAAGATTCTGGGGATCTGGGTTCAAATCCCGCCTTGGCAGATGGAGGAATTTGAATTCAATAAAACATCTGGAATTAAGAATCTAATGATGACTATGAATCCGTTGTCAATTGTTGGGAAAAACCCATTTGGTTCACTAATATCCTTTAGGGAAGGAAACTGCTGTCCTTACCTGGTCCAGCCCACATGTGACTCCAGACCCACAATAATGTGGTTGACTCTTAACTGCCCTCTGGGCTATAAATGCTACCTAGCCAGTGATGCCCTCATCCTGTGAATGAATAAAAGGAAGCCTAGGCTGACATCTCATTGCTGTTCTGAGGGAGTGTTGTATACAGTCAAACGTCAAAGTCTTTCATATGAGACATTACCCTAAGGCCCTGTTTTGCCCCTCAGGTGGTCAGAGATGATTCCATTGAAGAATTTTAAATAACTTGACCAGTCTGATCTGCCTGTTACAGGAAAGATATTATTAAGCTCGAGTGTGTTCAGAAAAGGTTTACTAGGATGTTGCCAGGAATGGAGGGTTTGAGATATATCACTAGGCTGGGACTTTTTCACTGGAGCATAGGCAGTTGAGAGTGACCTTGTAGAAGTTTATAAAATAATGAACAGCATCAAAAAAATGAATGGCAGGTGTCTTTTCCCTCGGGTGGTGGATTTCAAGACTGGTGGGCATATTTTTATGGTGAGAGGAGAAAGATTTTACAATAGGACATGAGGGGTAACTTTGTTTACATAGAAAGTGGTTCATGTGTGGAATGAAATGCCAGAGGAAGTAGTGGATGCAGGTGCAGTTACAATGTTTAAAAGACATTTAGATAAGTACATGAATAAGAAATTTTTGGAGGGATATGGGCCAATCACAGACAGATGGGCCTAGTTTAGTTTGAGAACATGGTTGGCATGGACTTGGACCTAAGGGTCTGTTTCAGTACTCCATGACTCTATAAAAAAAGCCAATATTTATCCCTTAATCAACAGGCTCATTTTCTAGTCATTAGCACATTACTGTTTGTGGTATCTTGCTGTGCGCAATTTAGCTGCAACATTCCAATCCTGTTTATGCAGTCACTGCATTTCAATATTACAACAAGGATTCTAAATCATTTGAGATGTCCTAAGGCTACAAAACACACTAAACAAATGCAGATCTTTCTAGAAGTGCTCACCACTGTTTTGAAGATGACCTTTTACTTGTGATCCCTACGCAGGAAGTGGGCTATCAACATGGGAAGACACTATTTGAGCTGTGGAGCAGAAGTGGAGTTATTGACAATATCCTGAAAGACAGACCGATAGACAACGTCACCAAGGCATGGCCCTCTGATGTAAGTTTGATGTTCAGTAGTACTGGAGAGTAGACTGGTATCTGCAACAAAATCTGAACTCCTCTGAATAACTGTAGCAAGTCAAGGCTTGTTGGTGGGACCAACACACAGAATGTTATTAATTTGTTTCGAACATTTACTTGACTTTTCAAAGCCATTTTCAGTTTTGGACAGTGTATTCTTTCCAAGAGATTGAAATGACTATATATTCCGGAAACTGTTGATGTCCTGAATAAGGTGTGTGATGTATTCTGCTGCTATTATGCTCTGCTATCTTGACCAAGATCACTGAGTACACCGTGTGCTAATCCCTCCCCTTGCTTTTGTTTGTCCAGTATTATCCACTTCCTGTAATATCCTCAGGAGAATCTCTCAATCCTTTCTCTGGGCCACAGTTATGTTTCTTTCTGCCTTTTCACATCAATAATTTTTTTTTAGAAGTTATATATACTTTTCAGAAAAAGTATATATTTTTCAGAAAATTTCAGAATGTACATATTCCAAACATAGTGTCACACCGGCCCAGCGTTGTTTGATTTATCTCATCAGTGCTCATTCTCCTTAAAAGCTTTGTGACCCTGTCTCATTGACTTAGTTTGACATTTTTATGTTGGAAACAGAGAGAGCATCATTCAGGGGTTGTGTTATTGTGACAAAACTCAGTCAACGTTCAGTATGTGGTGTTGAAGCTTTTTCTGATATTGTTTCTGTGAGTGTGGGAAGTTTGAAAATGCACAAGTCACCTACCTATGTTATTTCTTAGTTTTAGGTTTCAGAGAGAGAGAATTTAGACAAACAGATTTGTTCAATTTGCATTTTGATTGGCAAATCCTCTCTTTGAATTTGAGAGGCCAGATAGTTCAGGTGATCGTATTTTTCTGGGATTAAGCAAAAGTGCTATTCTGTTACAGGCACTTTGAAAATCCCTTGAAAAGAAACTGAAATCTCAGAGCAACACATTTTGGTGCAGGAAATGTGTACATCTAGTAACGAGTTGTTTATAGAGTATTAGCAATTGTGATTTTAAAAAAATCTTACTCTCTTTATTCCAAGATATAGTTGGGTTTCTTTGTTGTTTCTTCAGTGCATGTTTAATTTATTGTAAAATAAATTTGTTTGAAATTTAAACTTAAAATTAGATCTTCTGTGTTACTTTGTCACATTAAAATGCCAGAACATAACACAATGATGACGGAGGCACATCCAGTAGCTAAATGGTGTTACCAACTGCATTTGCACACTCCCCAAAACTTATCGAAGGAGACACAGTCATTGGGACGGGGAGGTGAGACTAATCCCTGAGAATGTTTATAAATGTTGAAAATGATCTGTAATAAAGTATTCAAGAAAATTGCAACATATAAGAAAAAGATTGTAGAATCTTTCTTGTTGGATCAACTTAGTTGGGTCAAACAATACATAGACCTAATATTCCCTTAGGTTTAGAAGAATGAGAGGTGTTTGGAGGCTAAAGGGTGATCTTGTAGAAATTTATGAAATCATGAGGGGCATGGATAGGGTGAATAGCCGAGGTCATTTTCCCAAGGGTGGGGAGGGGTTGAAGCCTACAACTAGAGGGCGTAGGTTTAAGGTGAGAGGGGAAAGATTTAAAAAGAACTTGAGGGGTAACTTTTTCACACGGAGGATGGAGCATGTATGGAATGAGCTGCCAGAAGAAGTGGTGAAGGCTGGTACAATTACAACATTTAAAAGGTATCTGGATGCGTACATGAATAGGAAAGGTTTAGAGGGATATGGGCCAAATGCTGGCACGTGGGACTAAGTCAGATTGGGATGTCTGAATATAAAAGCAGGGATGTACTACTGAGGCTTTATCAGGCTCTGGTCGGGCCACATCTGGAGTATTGTGTGCAGTTTTGGGCCCCATATCTCAGCAAAGATGTGCTTGCCCCAGAGCGGGTTCAGAGGAGGCTCACGAGAATGGTCCCAGGAATGGAAAGCTGAACATTTGAGGACTCTGGGATTATACTCATTGGAGTTTAGAAGAATGAGGGGGGAATCTAATTGAAACTTTCAAAATACTGAATGGCCTGGACAAAGTGGATGTTGGGAAGATGCTTCCATTGGTAGGAGAGTCTAGGACCCGAGGCCACAGCCTTAGAGTAAAGGGAAGACCTTTTAGAATGGAGATAAGGAGGAACTACTTCAGCCAGAGAGTGGTGAATCTATGGAATTCACTGCCACAGAAGGCTATGGAGGCCAGGTCACTGAGTACATTTAAGACTGAGATAGATAGGTTCTTGATTATCAAGGGGATCAAGGGTTACGGGGAGAAAGCAGGAGAATGGGGTTGAGGATCTTATCAGCCGTGATTGAATGGCGGAGCAGACTCGATGGGCCGAATGGCCTGATTTCTGTTCCTATGTCTTATGGTCTTATGATTGGCGTGGAAGAGTTGGACCAAAGGGTCTGTTTACTTGCTGTGTGACTGTATCTCATTTAAAAGTATAACATTCTTAAAGGGGCTTGATATGGTTGATGCTGGAAAGATGTTTCCCTTGTTTGGGGAGTCTAGTGTTGAAAGTCACAGTTCTGGCCTCTTTGGACTGAGGTGAAGAGAAATGTCATTCAAATGAATGTGAATCTTTAGTGAATCCTTCAGCTGCAAATGTTCAGTTATTGAACATACTCAAGATAGGTTTATAGGTTTCTGAATAGGAACAGAATTGACTGGGGTGGCGCGACATATCAGAAGGTGGCGCAGGTAAAAATGTTCAGCTATGATCTTATTGTATGACAAAAGTGCCAAATTCCTACACGCGGTCATATTTCTTATGTTCTTAAATGATCTTCGTCATCCATGTTTATCTTGTAATATTGATTAGCATCACTAGCAACAGAACTGGCCCACAGTTACTTGGTTTGTCACTTTCTTAGTTTTTGAACAAGACTCTTCCATTTAGCTTCCTGCAGTCTCTTGGTACAATTCCAATTTTGGAAAACTCAGTGTATACATAGTTTCATTCCTGACCCCTTTCACTGGAGAGTATTATAGTCCGGTGTTTTGTTAAGCCTGTTGGTACTGCTTCCTCCATCAGTATTGATTTGTGGCTTCTTCACATTCCAGTCTGTGTGTCTGTGTGCGCGCGCGCGTGTCTGTGTCTTTATATTTTTGAATGCTGACTGAAGTGGGCAAAGGACTGTTTCAATACCAAAGATTTCAGAAGGGACTTTTGCATTTTTTTAAAAGCACGTTACCCACACTCATACTTATTGTTTCTTCCACTGCTGCTTGTTGCAGCACTAGGGGAAGGTTACTGCAGGCAGACTGGAGCCTGTGGACATATACAGAGGGAGATTTGTCTGGCAACATGTACCTGATTGGTCTGTGAGTGGTGACCATTTGTCAATAGCAGAGGCTTTTGGCCTGCTGTGATTGGCTTCTAGGTAGCTGGATGGGTTGTGGGTGCGATTAATAAAATCAGAAGCATTTGGAATGGGATGTGGTGTCCCTTTCTATGCAGTAGAAAATACCTAAAAAAGTTTATTTTCTCTCACCTGTTACTGTAAACAGTTGCTTGTGAACATTAAGTCAGAGACTTTTTAAATTGTGAACCAGTCACACACCGCCTCCTGCGAGGAAGTGAAAAGAGGAGAAATTGAGAAGGAGCAGGATCTAGCACATCTTGTGGACAGGGACCATTGTGCTGCCTTCCCAGTTTTCCCTTCCACCCGTAGCAGCAGTGTTATTTTGTCTGTGTGCAGATTGTTTTAGAACGGTGGATTAGAGTTTTAACTGGTAGAATTACATATCAATAGTTCAAAGTGTTTACCATGGTTACAATCTTCTTATTTATAATAAGAAGCGGGAGCGGTGAGAGCGAGGACCAGAGGGCTGCTGGGAGGTAAGTTTCCCATTTAAATACTTCCCTCGTGGAATCAGCGGCCTCCATTTTTGCAGCAGCAGCGGGAGCGGTGAGAGCAAGGACCAGGGGGCTGCCGGGAAGGTAAGTTCTTCATTTCGGCAGTGGAGCTGAGTGGGAGCGGTCGACTTGCGCTCTGGGAAGGTGAGTGAACTAATATATTTGGGTAGTGGTGTGTTGATAAGGTAAGGATTTTTTTTTTTTTATCATGTGCTGGTAAGTAATGTGATTGGTAAAAATTTTTAATTTCATTTATCTATTATTTGATATTATAGTAGGACTAAGCTAAGCTTAAGAGTAAAAATGGCAGGAGATCCCAGGCCCGTGTTATGCTCCTGTTGCTCAATGTGGGAGCTCAGGGATGTGGCTGATGTCCCCAACTCCTACATGTGCAGGAAGTGTGTCCAGCTGCAGCTCTTGTTAGACTGCATGACGGCTCTGGAGCTGCAGATGGACTCACTTTGGAGCATCCGCGATGCTGAGGAAGTCGTGGATAGCACGTTCAGCAAATTGGTCACACCGCAGATTAGTCTTGCTGAGGGAGAAAGGGAATGGGTGACCAAAAGGCAGAGAAAAAGCAGGAAGGCAGTGCAGGTGTCCCCTGTGGTCAGCTCCCTCCAAAACAAGTATACCGTTTTGGATACTGCTGGGGGAGATGGCTCACCAGGGGAAGGCAGCAGTAGCCAAGTTCATGGCACCATGGCTGGCTCTGCTGTACAGAAGGGCGGGAAAAAGAGTGGAAGGGCTATAGTCATAGGGGATTTGTTTGTAAGGGGAGTTTCTTAGGCGGTTCTGTGGTCGAAAACGAGACTCCCGAATGGTATGTTGCCTCCCAGGTGCATGGGTCAGGGATGTCTCAGATTGACTGCAGGACATTCTGAAGGGGGAGGGTGAACAGCCAGCTGTCGTGGTGCATATAGGCATCAATGATACAGGTAAAAAATGGGATGAGGTCCTACAAGCAGAATTTAGGGAGTTAGGAGCCAAGTTAAAAAGTAGGACCTCAGAGGTAGTAATCTCAGGATTGCTACCAGTTCCACGTGCTAGTCAGAGTAGAAATGAAAGAATAGGCAGGATAAATGAGTGGCTTGAGAGATGGTGCAGGAGGGAGGGGTT